TGTATTTTTTTGTAGGACCCAAAGTTCGTTCATTGTAGGCTTTGTTAAGCTAACTCTGTAAAAGCCAAGGTCTCCCTTTGCATTGAACTTTGAGTATTTTACATTCAGAGATGCTGTTTATGTTCACACAGCTACATTATACATAAACTAAAGTTTATAATATGATATGGTAGTGGACAACCCCTTTAAGATGCCGTTCTTATATTGGATATGGAGGCTATAAGGATTAACAAGAGATGAAAAAGAGACAAAGACTGAGTGTGGTGAGAATGAATGAATGACAGTTTATAAAATTGTCTAAGGCATCCCAGCCTTACCTTGTGTTTTATTTGCTAATGTAAGCTATTTTCAAAGGATGAATATGATGTACAAAACTAAACATTATTTATATTACTTCATAATACCTATACATCAGATAAGCTTTTTTATATTAATGGATAATGCACAGATATTGATGTTTCATAATGTTTTACACAACATTATTTGAGTGTAACAAGCTTAGTTTACAATGTTTGCATTGCTCAACTTACATTAAATCTACTTCCCAAATATCATAAATGACAACAGATTGTTAAGATTTAATTAATGTCAATTTTAATGTTATTAATTATTGTACTTATACTTAACAGATTTCATTCATTAATTTTCCTTCTGCTCTGTCCCTGGTTTATCAGGGGTCACTACAGCGGAATGAACCACCATTTACTTGACTTGATTTATGTATTTTTAATTTTCGGTGGTTTGTGTAATGTGTTTTATGTTTTCATTTAAAAGGGCATCTTTAGTGATTTTTCAGCTAATTATTGTCACCGGCTCGGTCCCAGCTATTCCCTTCACTAACCAGCAGAGGTCATCATCACCGGACTATTGACATTACGTCATCCATCTACACTGATTGCAGACACACCTGACACACATCTTCAATCACATTCCACACACATATAAGCAGCACTCACACGCTGCTTCAGTGCGAAGTCTTGTTTTGCCCCGCAGACATTTCTGAGCGTTTTTCCCTGATTCTGATTTCTTCTTGTTGCCAACCCGGACTGTTTCTTGACCCTGTATATGTATTGCCGCCTGCCCTGAACTTTGCCTGCTTTTGGACTCTGAATCTCTGCTGCCAGCCCTGATCCCAGCCTGTTATCCGATGTCGATTGCTAGCCGCCTGTCTACTAAACCGTAGTCTTCTGCTGTACACTTGAGTATACACTTCTTCCTGTTTAATCTCATTTATACAATAAACGTACTGTACATGGATCCATTTATGTCTGAGCAATCGTTACAGAAGACTTCGCCAACATCGGATCCCGCAGCCATGCAAAAGTTTTCTACGGCACTTCAAGCTCAAGCCCAAACACTCTCGGTTCATCAACAACAACTCACTCACCTCACTCAGCTCACGGAGGAATTGGTGAAGGCATTACAAGGTCTGAACATCTCTGCACAGTCACCAATGGAGAGCTTTGCTTTCAACGCTCCTCCCAGCGAAAACCCCAGTGCTGCACAAAACCCACGATTGGCTCTTCCTGAGAAATATGGAGGTAATCCAGCTAAATGTAAAGGATTCCTACTGCAGTGTCAGCTATTTATCTCCCAACAGCCATATATGTACACAACGGAGAAGAGCAAAATAGCGTTTGTCTGTTCGCTACTCACCGACAAAGCCCTGGAGTGGGCTACCGCCATCTGGCAACCAAGCACCCCTACGTTCGCCACTTTTGCAAGTTTCTTGCAAAAATTCCGCACTGTGTTCGAACATCCTGAGGGAGGTCGCAGCGCTGGTGAGGAGTTGTTAACTATTCAACAAGGCAACCAAACAGCCGCCGACTTCGCTCTTCACTTCCGCACACTGGCAGCCAAGACTGGATGGCTGGATGATACATTAAAGACACTATATCGTAAAGGTCTCAACCCAGAACTGCAAACTGAACTAGCTTGTCGTGACGAGGGAAAAACATTGGATCAATTCATTGAACTTTCTATACTCCTGGACAACCTCATACGAGCTCGTAAACCACTTCACTCTTTGTCGCCCCTCAGTCTAAGACCCAGATTACCCGCAAACAATGCTTTGGAACCCATGCAAATTGGTCACACTCCACTAACCTCCGAAGAACGGGAACGCCGATTCCAGTTCAATCTCTGCATGTACTGCGGCCTGCCAGGACATATTAAGGCCCGGTGTCCAGTGAGACCCTCCTCCAGATCGCTCCCGGTGAGTTCAGCTCTCTGTTCCTCTATAAATAACCAATGCATAGAAGTTCCCATTTCCCTGACTGTCAATGGTACTGTAATTAATTTGACCGCTATAATCGATTCAGGCGCCGCAAGTATTTTTATGGATAAAACGTTTGCTGATGACCACAACATCCCCTTATTCTCTTGTTCTTCTCCCATTTCAGTCCTTCCTAGGATACATTATTGGCACTGAGGGCGTGGCCATGGATGAGCAGAAGGTGCTAGCAGTATTAAAATGGCCCAAGCCTAGAACCATTAAAGAGCTCCAAAGATTTCTTGGCTTCGCAAAATTTTATAGACGTTTCATTCGAAACTTCAGTTTGGTTGCTTCCCCACTCACAAGTTTGACCAGAGGGAAGGGATCACTTATCAAATGGAACGACACGGCTGAGAGGGCATTTGCCAAATTGAAACACCGCTTCGCCACCGCTCCCATCCTTCATCATCCTAATCCTGAGTAACCCTTCATTGTGGAAATTAACGCATCCAACACGGGCATTGGCGCAATATTATGCCAGAAACAGGGTTCTCCATCCAAATCTCATCCATGTGCATTCTTTTCCCGTAAGCTTAACTCCGCGGAACAGAACTATGATGTGGGCAATCGGGAACTCCTAGCCATGAAAGCCACGATGGAGGAGTGGAGACACTGGCTGGAGGGCGCTAAACACAAATTCACGGTAATAACGGATCACAAGAATCTAGAATACATACACTCTGCAAAAAGACTCAATCCCGATTCGACTTTACGGTAACATATATTCCGGGCTCAAAGAACGTCAAGGCAGACGCATTATCCAGAATATTTGAAGAGGAGGTGGTGGAGCAGAAAGAGGAAACTATCTTAGAGAAATCCTTGGTGCTGTCACCTATCATGTGGGATATCACTACTGAGATCGGCCAGGCTCAAACGCAGGAACCACGCCCACCGAATTGCCCCGCAGAGAAAACTTTCGTTCCTACAACCTTGCGGACACGATTAATCGGTGAAATACACAACAACCCCAGCTCCGGACACCCAGGTATAAGCAGAACAAAGGAACTAGTACAGAATAAATTTTGGTGGCCCAACATGTTGACGGACATCACAAGATTTCTCAACAACTGCTGTCTATGTAATATGCACAAGCACTCCCGAAAGCTACCGGCCCGATTATTACAACCCTTACCCACCCCCCGCAGACCATGGTCCCATATAGCTATCGATTTTATAACGGACCTCCCCACATCTCAAGGCAATACCACTATTCTAACCATAATTGATAGATTTTCCAAGGTGTGCAGACTCATTCCCATTCCCAAACTTCCCACCTCTCTAGAAACGGCCGAACTCCTATGTAATAATGTCTTTCAATTTTATGGGTTACCGGAGGATATTGTGTCAGACAGAGGACCCCAGTTCACATCAAGAGTATGGATGGCTTTCTTTAAAAGTCTCAACATCAACATCAGTTTAACTTCAGGATACCACCCACAATCCAACGGACAAACCGAGAGGCTCAATCAGGAAATTACACGCTTTCTACGCACCTACTGCCACCAAAATCAAGCCGACTGGAGCAAGTATTTGATATGGGCTGAATACGCACAGAACTCGTTACGTAAGGCTGCTACGGGACTGACTCCTTTCCAGTGTGTACTCGGGTTCCAACCCCCACTATTCCTATGGTCTGGCGAACCCACCGAACTACCCGCTGTCAATGACTGGCTTCAGCGCAGTGAAGATACCTGGAACGCCGCTCACACACACTTATCACGAGCCATAAGGAGATTTAGAGAGCAGGCAGATCGCCGTCGATGCCCAGCCCCGACATATACACCAGGACAATGGGTATAAACGTACTGCACATGGATCCATCTATGTTTGAGCAATCGTTACAATTATAATGTCTTGTCCCAATAGGTGGATTTAGAGTTTGTTTTGCAAAAAAGCACAAGTGGATTTAGCTGAACCTAATCAGAAGAGCCTGATGTCTGATAGATTCAGAGGATTTTGCATCTGAAGTTTTCATATGCTCATTTATTACTTCATAAATGGCCCATATTATCAGAAGCTCTACATTGAACATATTTAGAACTATCTGTGCTCTCTCTCTCTCTTTCTCTCTCTCTCTCTCTCTCTCTCTCTCTCTCTGTCTCTCCCTTTATAAAACATATGTAAATATACATATGTAAAATACCAATACTTCATTTCTCAATAAAATATTTTAACAAATATAGTAAATGGAGTTTTTAATTTTTTTAAATTTAAGTTATGGAGGTTTATTTTATTTATCATACCTAGTGTGAGTGAGACATCTAATATTAACTCATCAGTCAAATATTTATCTCCTGAGTTGTGTTGTGGATAGGCTAAATTATAAAGAAACTCAACAAAAGAGCCTGAAAGAGATTTGTTTTATTTTTATGCAGTAATGTAAATGATAACATAGGCAGAAATTAATAACAACCTATGCATAAGCAATTGAAGTTTAATAAAATGTTTTGCTGTTCTATCACTTTAAAAAAAAAAAAACATTTAAATTCCACCATTATTAAACACCCATTTTTATACTAAGCATACACTTCTATTCAGCAGTCTATGTGTTTGTGGATTCATTAAAAACATATGCAGCAAATTTCACAATTTTCACAAAGTTCCTCTTTGGAGTGGAGTTGAATAATTTTAGAATTTGTATATCCCACATTTTGCATCCGGGCGCATCATAAACATTGCTTAGCACTCTTGTTATCATATGAAATGCCGTTTTCTTTTCTCCCAGCAGAAAGTGAACTGCGATATGCTCGTTGGAAGAAAGCTGTTCAAAGGGCCATGAACTGGGAAACCATAGAGCCAGTCAACAGTGGAAATGGTAAGGACTTGTTTGGCTAATCAAAAAAATTTGTTTGGCTGCGAAACACCATATACAGATGAAGTAAATGGCAAACATGGAATATAAAAACAGAGAAATGCAAGTTGGTTTGGATTTAAATGAACAAAAAATAACCTGCATGACAATTTTTTGAAATTCTGGAGAGTAATCTTATCATTTGCTCAGCAATGTTATTTACAAAAGAACCAATATTCCAACTAACTGAACACCAGCAGTCAAAGATTAATGTATTGTTTGTAGTAATCAATAACCAGGTTTTTGCAAGAAAACAGCTATTTTATTTTTAACAGGGATACAAAGTCCTCTTGTAAATGTATTTCCTGTTATTTATTACCTTATTCAGGGTAAATCTTCAGGACCTTTTATTTATTTTTTTGAACAAAATCAGCAGTTTCTCAATTATTCCACTTGTTTTCTCTCTTTCCACTCTTGTGTAACATGGACCTGTGTTCTGGACAACCAACAGAGGACACTAGTATCTTCAGTAGTGTACCCTTGGGCTTTTACATTCTGGGTAGCATGTTTATGTTAATTGGAGCGAAGTACATTGCAGGTTAGTTTGAATGTGAGTGTGTGTAGGGGGAGTAATTGAGAGATGGTGAAAGAGACAGATGCATTTCTTTTTACGTAATCTGCTTAAAGATCATCTGTCTAAATAAGTTATGAAAATGAGTGAGGCATCACACCCCAGTCCTCTTTTTTATGATTTAGTTAATGAATTGTATAGTCTAGCATTTCATTTCATGTGTTTCTGTTAGGATGAAATAATTGAACAGGTCCTGTTCAATTGTTATAAAAAAAAAAAAAAAAAAAACTCAAAGCCTTTCACAGTTTTGATCATTTATAAAGCTGTAACTGGTAGCTTTAAAAGTAAGGTTTTCTCAACTTGGTGAGAGTTTTGAGAATCTCCTCTTTCACTGCTATTTAGTTTTTGCTTTTGTCTTTTCACTTTATTTGTAATATCCATCTTGTCTTTTTCAGAGTATTGCTTTAACATTTGTGAGTATATCAGTCTTTACTGATCTAACTTTTTTCCTCTCCAAAATCAGGGCAGAAGTTGGCTTGAACTGAAAAACTGAAGACTCAAAATGTGCTGTAGTGGCACTGGCATTAAAGTATCAGACGATTCCATCACGTGTGGTACCTCAGATTTACAAATGAAGAAATTGTTTGGCTATGCAGCAGGAATTTTTTTAACATATATGGTATAATTGCTTGAAAATAATGTGATTGTGTAATTTATCAATTTTAATTATGTAATTATTTTATAAAATAATCCCAACACTGTTTAACACAAGGAACTCTTTGACATTGAAGTTGCAGAGGCTCAGTGTTTCTTTTGTTCTGCTGCTATTTTGCCTACACTGTAAATTATGTATTGACTGTCAGACATCAACATGCACATTGTGGGGAATTGTTATTAAGTTTGAAAAAATCAAGACATGCTGAAATTACTACCTGTTTAGGAGACTTATTTTAGTACACTTTACCATGTATTGTGCTGGGTTCTTTTTTGTATAACCAGCAATGGAATTCAATTCATTTTGTTATATCTATAGTGCTTTTACAATATATAAAAGCAGCTTAATATAATGACATATTAATAAATTGAAACTGCTTCAGTCCAGTTTTCACAGATGAAGTTCAGTTTAGTTTAGTTCAGTTCAGTGTAACTTAAATATCACTGCCATAAGCCAAAACAGTAAAGAGCAAATCCAAGAGCTGCAATCTGGGCTCCGGATCCTTGAGAACGACTGACATCTATCATAGAGAGACTGCAGGTCAGTCTTACAATCTCCACTTGTCCAAGACCACCACAACATCTGTTCAGCATATGGGATGGATCCAGGATTATAAAGACCTCGGGATAAGGAAAAACAGACTAACTAGTGTAGATACTATTTAGATTATAATGTCTTTTTGTTGGGAAGTGTTCCCAGCTCTGGTTGCACTAATTAATGCAGCCTAACAATTCTTTAGAGGATTTGGAAGCGATGCATTTGTGTTTGTGTCAATCACAAACTCCAATTTTGGGCTCGTGAGCATACACATCAGTGTGTATTTGTCAAAATAGTTGAGTCCGAGAGATGGAGGAGAAACGGAAGGGAGAAATTGAGGGAAACACTGGAAATTCTAAATATGCACAGCACTTGACCACACACTCACACACACACTCTGTCATGCGCTGCAACCAGGCAGTCAGCAGGTGCTTTGAGCAGAAAACCCCCAGTTGATAGCAGTGCATATCGGACAGTTTATCAAAAATCTACTGCTGGGTCTAATTTCAATGTAGTTGTTAAACGTGATATTTAATTCATCTTGTTGTCTATATCTAATCAGTCTGTGGTCTTTTGAATCTATTAGCGACTTGTTCTCAGGTAACTCGTTCTGGCAAAGAGAAAAGATAAGTCAATATATTAATTTATGTAACTGATTCTGCATATTTGACTCATTGCTTGCCTATATTGTATAATTTTTTTCTGTTATACTTTTATAATTGCCATTATTGATTATTAAAACTTACATTCAGCAAAATAGGGTGTTTCGTATTTTTCAATGAATATGAAAGGGGACAGTTATGTTATGTTATTTGTTTTGTTATAAAAATCATACAGTGAAGATGACTGTCATATGTAGCTACATGATGCCTTAACATTTTTTTTTGTCTGTTAAGTTGTAATATCAAAATGAAAATATCCATTTCCATATATAAGGTTTTCATTTCATTGTTAAGCTAGAGAAACAGCATTGCCTGCAGGGTGATGTGAATGAGGTCATTAAGTGGCCTACACTGTTCACTTTGAAGATTTACTTGTGCGTCAGCAGGCAGTTTTTGTTATGTTTATTTTTTTATATAGGCTGAGTGAATAGTGTATTGAACAAGCTAAAATGGGGAACAGTTGCAGGGTTCCCGCGGGTCCTTAAAAAGTCCTAAAATGTCTTAAATTAAAATCCGGGAAATTGAGGTCTTAAATTCTTTAATTTACCGTAAAGTGGCTGTTAGGTATTAAATTTTCAGCCGGTGTGCTTAATGATGATCAGGAAGCACAGTGGTCCACCGTGTTGGCTACAGACGTTTACGTTGGTCTGTACCTGCATGCTGTTATTACGCATGTTATTGCCGAGGTGAGGTTCAAAATGCAAAGATGGGAAGGTGTACATTTAATGACATGGCAATGAGGGAATGTGTAAATTCTGCAAAAAGACCTTTCTTCAGGGACCATGGGGCTTCAAGCCGTCGAGTTGCACATGAAAGGAGGAAAGCAGCAGCGGTACGTTGCAGCAGCTAGTCATAGGGGTCCAGGTTAATCCCTGCATTGTTTGCAACCTAACAGTTTTACTAAGTCTAGAGCTGAAGATCTTTACCTGAACACGACGGACTTAATTTCTATCATTTTAGACGAGGTCAGGCCGGGCTTGAGCTTAAGCAGTAAATGATCAGTCATGTGATGCATTTCGATTAGCGCGAAAAAAAAGTAATCAAATCGTTTGTTATAACATTAAAATTCATCCCTGTAAAGGTGAAACAAATGATGACGGAGAAGTAAAAAAAAAAAAAAAAAACGAATTTTGACTGCGGTCAGGCCAGCTGCTAGTTCAATAAGAACAGTCATTCTGGCCGTCAAGGTATTTCGGCAGTCACTCATTCACTGCGTATTACGGTAAAGCGTTAAACAGTTATGTACAGCGAACTGACAGGGAAGATGAAATGAATGTTCTTAACTGACGGAAGATGAACAAACAATCCTAATCAAAACATGCTAAATTAGCCAGATCAGTAGTGCATTCTGGCCAGTAGCAGCAGCAGTGAAAGGGTGTTCAGTGCTGCTCAGTGAGCACAGGACTGCACTAAATCCATTTACAGTGGATTTAATAATGTTCCCCCACAAATACATGCAGACTAATCTTGACGAGTGAAGAATTTTCAAATTATAACTAAATATTAAAATTAAAACATAAAATCATAATCCAGACAGAGTATACAGGCTAATGTTGCATTAATCTTTAAATATTCAGCTTCACCGTCACCTTATTGTGAAGAGAAGTGGCAAAGAGCCTTTATCTTAATTACATTATTGCCAAATACCAGTCGTGATTTATCTTTTATTCTAATTTAATTTGTTAAGAAAGACTTTTTTTTTGGTGTGGTGGCCAATTTAAAGGCTAAGTGTATGTACCTGGGCCTATTTAGAGTGCTGAGATGTTAAGATGTTACAGAGGACTTTTTGTTCCAATTTCCAAGTGGCCTATAGCCTATGTTATGAATAAGTAATGTTAACGCACATAAACGACTCATTCATGAAAAAGATGGCCTGATTACAGCTCTAGTTCGGACGCCCCCTCACAGTCAGCTATAACAGTTTAATTTCACCACCAGACACTCAAAAGAAGGGTACTGTGGGTTATCCATGCTGTGACGAGGCACAACTCATTTAAATCTAACAGGGAAATTGAGTAGCCTATTCCAAAGAAATTATGAAATTTTTGGGTCTTAAATTATATTTGTTGAGGTCTTAAAAATGTCTTAAAGTATTAAATTTTACTTTTAAAATGGTGCAAGAACCCTGAGTTGTGTGTGTGTGTGTGTGTGTGTGTGTGTGTGTGTGTGTGTGTGTGTGTGTGTGTGTGTGTGTGTGTGTGTGTGTGTGTGTGTGTGTGTGTGTGTGTGAGGGATGCACGATATATCGACGGCCATATCGTTATCGGCCAATAAATGCTATTTTTAAGATAATCGTAATGGAGCCGATGTCTAAATTAGGCCTTTCAGATTTTTAAATTAGGCTATTGGCCTTCAAATCTGAAGAATTATCGGTATCGGCCAAAAAATCCACATCGGTGCATCCCTATGTGTGTGTGGGTGTTTCTCAGTTCTGGGCTCCATCTGGAAAGGTATCCACTGCATAAAACATATGCTGGAATAGTTGGTTGTTCATTCTATTGTTGCAACCCCTAAGCCGAAGGAAATAGAATGAATAGCATACTTTTTATAACCTAACAAAAATCTTTATGAACAGTATACAAAAATTAAATGGAGATCAATGACTGTATTTATTTCCGATATATGGCTTCTGTGCTTTCATAAAATAGGTATAGGTAAACCTATACAAGAGTTTGCACAGATGGGTAGCATTTTGATTCAGTTCAATACATCTTTATTTCTATAGCGCTTTTACAATGTAGATTGTGTCAAAGCAGCCCCACATAGAAGATTATAGTAAATTGAAAGTGTCAGTTCAGTTTGTAATGTTGAAGTTCAGTTTAGTTTTTCAGTGTGGTTTAAGGCCTGAATGTAATGTGAGTGCGGGCCTTCGAAGGAGACGAGAGCAGGGACAAGCATGCTTTGGCCTGGTTCAAGGCAATTGTACATAGTGTGAGTACGCCCTAAGACTATATGCCAGATTACTAGACAGGAGAGCTGCTCCAGCCCGAGTGGGATGAAGACCATCTCTATTCAATAGGTCTACCCCAAAAACTACACAACCAAAACAAAAATGTTATTTGGTGGGCACCACTTTGATATCCAGCCATTAAGTGATGAGTCAGCGGTGAAACGATTTTACAGAACTTGCGTTTATATTTAGCCAGCACTTTTTAATTTGACATAATGTCAGGCGCTCTGGCTCCCAGCAGACATTTTACCATGGTGATTGTTGTGTCTACTTGTATATTCCGTTTCATCAGGTTTCTCAGTAGGTGCATCACTGAGAGGGCTAAACCTGTTTGATATTGGAAGGGACACAGTGTTTTCTCCCACCTCTAGATTTTCTCACAGTTACCCAGCCGTCTGTCTCCGAAGACACAACAGTTGGAGCCAAACTATGTGAATGGCATGCTAAGCTAGTGGCATGCTAAGCTAGTTACATCCAAATCCTTATCTAGAGACTTTGCACTCTTATTATTCACAATTTAAGTTTGGATGCCGTTTGTCATTACATCTCTGACTATCTGGAAGTGCTTCGACATTGGTGAGTAATAAATCTTAATATTATCATGCATACAGCAATTCTGTAAGCCAAACGCTAATGTTAGTTTGTAATTAGCACCAACTGTTAGCTTATAGAAAGAGATGCTATTTACACTAAGTGCAAATAGCAGAAAATTCTAAGTGCCATTTACACAATATAGCAACAAAAGTTATGGTAGATGCTATATACACTCAGTGCTTATAGAATAGAAAATATATGCCATTTACACTTTTAGAGTTTGTAGAAGGTATTGCTTTGTTACTAAATGTATAATGCTATTTACACAAAAAATTAAGCATACACTAGCTGCGTCCCAAATCACATACTTATGCACTATTCTACGCCATTTTGTAGTATAAATAGTGTAAGTAGTGTGTTTACATTGAAAACTCTAAAAATAATAATGTGTGGAATGATGGACACTTCACGCACTCAACGACCGCAGGTTTGCTTACGTAGCGAAAGGGGCTGAGCTATCGGGCATACATGTAAGATAACTTTATTTATTTTGGATTGTGAAAGCAAAATTCTACGAGAGTGATTATAGGGCCTCCAGATGGTGAATGCGGTTATACTCATGGCAGATGTTATGTGATTATTCGGTCATTTATTTCACTCATTTGGCAACCGTCAAACGTCATTAGGGAAATGGTTTGAATTTCCGCTTAGTAAAAAAACATTGGTGTGCCATTTGGGATGACACTACATACATATACTATCCTGTTGAGTGTGTAAGTGCATAAGTACAAAGTGTAATAGTGTGCCATTTGGGACGCAGCTGTTTACACAGACTTGCTATTTAAACCAAATTTTAATAAGTGCTTTATGCCATTAACAGTTAAAATATAGTATTTACCAGAGCTGTCAAAATTAGCACGTTAATGCATGTGATTAATTTAAAATATTTTACACATAAATAAAAAAAAACACAGTTTTTGATGTTTTTTTTTTAATTTTCTGTTGTGGCCTACGTGTGTTCAGGGATGATGCGTGCATAGAGGCAACCTAGGCGGACGCGTTGGGCAGCAGAATAGTATGCGAACCCCTCTGTCTTCACTTTTGTAGGGTCCAGCCAGTTGGTCCAATGACGGTATCCAATGGTGGATGAAGGTTCACTGCATGTTCGGTCTTTCCAGTGCACAATGTTGATTTTTATTAAACTTAGCTTATATCTGACTCCAATTTTAGTATGAGGTGGTTTAGAATATTAATATATTTATCCTCGTTTTATCTGACTCCAATTATAAAACATTGAGAAGGTTATTTTGTTTCCATTCACATTAATTTAGATTATGATTGAATATTCTCTTCGGTCCATCATTTTATGTTATTCTCGTTCATTGGGATTCCTATAACATCCTGAATCTTGTACCGGCCGAGTATACAATTTCTTAAGCACAAGCTTGTCAGTCTTGGTCACTAAACAGTGGCGATTGACCGCTATCCTAAAAAGGCAGAACCCTACTTACTCAGATTAGGATATTTGTTATGCGGTCCCTATAGGTCTGCTACCTCCTAAATCAAACAGAGCTATTTAGTCATATAATGATCAATACTATAGAATTAAGC